AACTACCGCAGGTCCTGGTTCTCAAACAACAGCAGGTCCTGGTTCTCAAACTACCGCAAGTCTTGGATCTCAAACCACTGCGGGTCCTGGTTCTCAAACCACCGTACGTCCTGGATCTCAAACAACTACAGGTCCTGGTTCTCAAACAACTGCAGGTCCTGGTTCTCAAACAACTGCAATTCCTGGTCCTCAAACTACCGCAAGTCCTGGTTCTCAAACCACTGCGGGTCCTCGTTCTCAATCCACCGTACGTCCTGGTTCTCAAACAACTGCAGGTCCTGGTTCTCAAACCACTGCGGGTGGTGGTTCTCAAACCACCGTACGTCCTGGTTCTCAAACAACTGCAGCTCCTGGTTCTCAAACGACTGCGGGTCCTGGTTCTCAAACCACCGCACGTCCTGGTTCTCAAACTACCGCAGGTCCTGGTTCTCAAACTACAGCAGGTCCTGCTTCTCAAACTACAGCAGGTCCTGGTTCTCAAACTACAGCAGGTTCACAAACTACCACCACTGGTTCTCCAATTTCAACCTCTGGACCTCCTCTTGCAGGTAGGAGTAGGGATTGTTAATTTGAGGTTCTGTATTATATTTTAGAACATCGAGACCAAGGTCCGGGTCCTTACCATCACACATGTCTTGATAATTTCCGTTCAACCGATAAATCGTACTAAAGATACATGAGTACGGCTCTTTCAGATGAAAACTGTAATTTATATCTGGGGGGAATTTGAAACATATGTCTGCACTTTAATAATAGAACACATTACCATCAACTGAATGCACTTTACATTCATGACAAGTGGAGGACTTTCACGGGCTGGATATTAAAGCGCTGTTGGCTGCCGTCCAGTTTACAATCATCACTAAATGATGTCCTTACCTTTATCTTTTGCTCAGCTTGTTCAGAGAATGATCCCTGTCTCAATTACGGTATTTGTGTGAGCAATAATGGAACAAACTTCTGTCAATGCCAACCAGGATTCATAGGCCGTCGCTGTGAAACAAGTAAGTAATATAATAATATTAGTTGAGACTTTCCATGGGAAAGACCGACCACGATGGGAGGGAGCCTGAGACATTAACCCTAATGAATCTTTATACCTAAACTACCACCATCCGTTTCAAAAAGTTAAGACAATAGTGAAAATTACCATAACAAAAAAAGCTACTGAAGGGGGTTCTGGAAGCGTAGGTTTTACACGTCATCATGCGGATCTTAGCCTATCTTTACACAAATTTACATAAACCTTTATGATGACGTTTTCCAGGCTATAAGGATCTTGACCAATCTTTACGCAATATTTACATAAACCTTTATGTAGACGTTTTCCAGGCTATAAGGATCTTGACCAATCTTTACGCAATAATTACATAATCCTTAATGCAGACGTTTTCCAGTCTATACGGATTTTGACCAATCTTTACGCAATATTTACATAATCCTTAATGCAGACGTCTTTACGCATTACGCATTTTTAACGTATTTTGTAAATAATTCATAATATTCTATCGAAATTCTATTCTATGAAATAAATATTCGTAAAGATAAAATTTCATGCTGTGATATGCAAGACAACTAACATGGTTTACCACGTTCAAGCATGTTTGAAAGCAATATCAATACTATGCATGTTTGAAGCAATATGAATGTCATGGTATATCATGCTCAAACATGTTTGAAGCAATTTCAATATCATGTTATGACATAACTAAGATATAACGCGCGCTCTGATTGGTTCACCACCTATGGAAAAAAAAAATGTATGGAGCACTCGTATGGAGCACGCTGGTGATGTCAAGTTGGTGAAAATTCGGTGAAAGTTGCAAGCATTCAGATGAAACTAAAAAGACTACTAACTGGTCTATCTTTCTGTACATTTAAAGGTAAAATATAATCATTGATTTCCTTTGAATAAAAAGTTAATAGCGTATTTATTTGAGCTCAAGTTTGGCTTACTAAAAAACTCGCCCTTCCATCGGCCAACTCACTACAGCAAAATCAAGAAGTCTTGCAGTTGAAAAGTCAATTAGTTCAGTTTTTCTTGCTCAATCCGCCGTAGAGGCGACCACAGCAGTCCAGCAAAACACCACGATGGTTACTAGAGTCCTAGTAAAGCCACTGATGCCTCAGTTTTTGAAAAAATCTTACAGTTCAAAATGTTCAGAAAATTTGTGATGCAGCCAAGCGCCAACGAAAATCGCTAAATCGATTCTCCTCAGTCAAATTAGCTTTAAAACTTTCTTGTGAATGAAAACTTTTAAGAACACATTTAGAAGCTGCATCCCTGGAGTCCAAGTAAGGCCACTGATTCATTCTTTCGACTCAGTTTTCGAAACCTTTACGGTTCAAAATGTTCAGATAATTTTTGATGCAGCCAAGCGTCAACGAAGATCGCTAAATCGACTTCTCATATCAGTCAAATTAACTTTAAAAATTTCTTGTGAATGAAAACGTTTAAGAATACAATTAGTAACTGCTTCCCTTTCATGATTTTTTCGGAAAAAGTTTTTAAAATGAAGTTCAAAATAGAAATTGAGCTGTTTTTGCTCCAAAAACGAGACTTCACTGATTTCAAATTTAGTTCGTAAAGTATCATGCTCGCATCATAGGAGAATGCAACTCTTACGCTACCATCGTGCTCTCCCAACTATCCGCGTGCACCATCAATAGATTTATGCACGCTAAGCATTGACCATTGATTAACTATACCATGGTCAACCATGTTTGAAGCAATATCAATATCATGGTATATCATGGTCAACCATGTTTGAAGCAATATCAATATCATGGTATACCATGGCGGCCATCCATGTTTGAAAGCAATATCAATACCATGGTATACCATGGTCAACCATGTT